TATGCTCGGTTATCAATCGTGTTTTCCATGAAAATCATTTCGAAGCTATAAAATGTGAAGTCTCTCAGCTAGATAGTTTTGGATAGCTACGTTCCACATGACTAAATCCTTTCAGTAGAGGGTTGGCGACGCAAACGTCGCGTTACCTTGTGTATTCAAAAATTTCAATGCAGGATATTTAATTGTCAGGGCCATGATAAATGAATGATGCCTTTTTCTGGAACTACACTCGGGATAACTTTGAATATAATACGTACATGTCTGTCGTAGAAATTCTTGTTCTATAGCTGGAAATGATTCTAAACCAAAAGAATAAAGTAAAAATTGAGATTGAGATTCGAATTACGTCGTGTCTTTAAGCCTTGTACGATCAGATAACAATAATTTGGCAATGACACTGGTACATTATTTTCACTCTACAAAAAGATAAAATATTTCTACATATAAACAATTAAAAATGGTACATCGTCATCGTCAAGTCGTATTTGTTTTCGAGATCGTTTCGCAGTGGTAGGTTTCGAAGCATTTCCTAGTGTTTCAAATTTTTCATTTTCAATCACTTTCGGTGACCGAGATGGAGTAGATTCATATAAATCGGACGAAATTGACAAATCGAAATTCATTTTCAATCCGTTAGATTGATCTCGAACTTGCTCGTAAGATGTAAATTCAAACACATCACTTAATTCAGGATCATAAAATTGTATTCGACGATGATTTTCATTCGGAAATAATAATCTAATTTTTTCGCCAATTGTTTCATAGTCGTCGCCAATTATTGTGGTTTTCCGTCCTTGATGTTCAAAAACAATTTTTATCTAAAAAAGAAATCTTGTTATTATATCTAGATAAACAATGCATTGTTCTATATGTCAAACCGATTTCAACATACTTTCAACTTATGTGAAACATCATCGGGATCTACACAGTCATAGTAAAAATGTTCGCTTGATTTTTACATGTGGTGGTTCGTTCGGTACTGTTCGAAGTTTACAGACGCAGTGAGTTATCTATTAGCTTTTTCAAATCTACTTTTCAAAATGTTTTTATTACTCAATTTCTAGTTGGTACCGATTTCATAATGACAGGACTAACCAAGGTCAACAAGATGCAGAAGAAAGAGATGATCATGAAAATTTACCGAATTTAAATAGTAAAGAAAACAACTCAAATCAGGATTACAAATCGTAGAGAAGCGGCCATAAAAATCCGCAGGATGAAACATTTAACAGCAGCAACAGCACCGATAGTTTGACCGAAGAAGAACAGCTAGAAGCATTCGAGAAACGCATCCTATATATACTACTTACTCTTCAAACAACTTTCTACACATCTGAGGCTGCAATCGAATATGTTGCCACAAGTCTTCCAGAAATGTTCTTAGCTATATCAACAAAAAGCTGGTTCGATATTTGAAGATAATCAAACTAATCTTTTTATTTTTATTACTTTAGAATCCAAATGTTTTAGCTAGTTGTATAAACCAATTTAAATCAAAGCATATTCGAAAGAAAAAAGCAATCAAATACTTTGAATATATCGATCCTATTAGCCGTTCTTATCAGGTATATTGTTAAGTTAGACTCACTACCAGAGTATTGATCTAATTAAAAACCTAATACCTCTTTCTCATCTAATAGAATCAAAATTGCTAAGACTAATGTACGCTTATTTACAGACGATTATGAAAAACAACCAAATCAAGACAGTCAAATATTCATATGTACCTTTTCTCAAGAGTCTCGAGAAGTATCTTCGTCTACCAGAAGTTCAAGCTGATTTACAACGCGTAAAACACAGTTATGATCCTAATCGTATCGAAGATGTTCATGATGGCTTTTTTGCTCGAAATCATCCGAATTGCCGAAATTCCACTTATCTTAAAATTGAGATCAATTCGGATGACTTAACAATAAACAACCCTATATCTCATCGTGCTCATTCGATTTTTTTCTTTTATTGGTCCTTGTTAAATGTCTCGAGGGAAAAACACTCAAAGCAATCTGCTAAGCGACTGATAGCAGCATGTCCTAAATGGGCACGAAAGTAAAACTCTTTATGTCACATTATTGATGATTTTTTAATTGGAATGCATATACTTTCTACATCTTGTAGAGTGATCTTTAACTGCATATATTCCTCGTTTACTAAAGTCGTGTTTAGGTATCGCCATCGATGTAAATGATAATGAAATCACTTACTATGGTGGTTTATTTTTATCAATTGGAGATTATCCAGCTCAAATGTCTTTGAATGGATTTAAGGAGAGTGTATCAGCAAGTCATTTTTGCCACATGTGTGACATTCAACATGATTGTCTCGAAGACGATATCTTACATGACTTTTTCTAATATTACTCTAAGTGAATATCGACAAAGGTCAGTTGAAATACTTTTTTCTTACCTCTTGATTACTATACACTTATAATTAGATGCACCAGCTTGGAACTTGTTCAAAACTCTGCCAAATCGTACGAAATTTTATCTAAAAGATATGGAATAAATAAAAGAAGTTTATTTGATGATTTATTCGATGTTACACGTTAATGTCCGTATGATACTATGCATACTTTGCTAGAGGAAACGCTACATATAGAAATCTTTGAATTTTCAGTAGATTAAAATCAACTGGAATAATGTTTCGTTTAGTATTCGATATCCCATAATTCAAATTCTATAATGTTAATGGAAATATAAAACACTATATTTTTAATTTTTTATTACTTCTTAAAACTATACGGACGTAACTTGATTGCCCTGAAGAAAAGAAAATAATCAGCGTACTGAAGACTTCTTTTTTATATACATTGCAGGGTGTGTTTCCAAACCATCTGAATGCTTTCCTACAATTTTGCGTAGGTAGTGGTTATTTCAAATTGGATCAGTTTTGCTCTGAAGTCAACATATTTCCCTACGAGGGTGATGAGCTACAGTCTAAACCACGCCTTGATTTGAAAATCGATGAATTAAAGAAACAAAATAATTTGGGAATGCCTTTGAATTCAATGCGAACTTTTCATCTTTTTATAAATTTACCTTTTATTTTCAAAAAATTGCTTTGTACATCGGATTTTTCACATTACCACGCTATATTAATATGTGTTGATATTCTTTCATTGTGCTTTGCAACAACAACTACCGAGGTTACTTACCAACAATTGTCTTCTTTCGTAAAAACGCACAATGATCAGTTCAAAAAACTATATCCAGGGGAAATGAAATTTAAATTCTATTTCATGACTCATTTTCCTGCTCTAATGAAAGATTTAGGGCCTTTGGCTTATACATCTTGCTTGTCAACTGAAAGAAAGCATCAATTCTTCAAAGGAAATAAAGTCCGTAACTTGAAGCATCCGCCATTAATGCTGGCAATGAGACATCAGTTCTGACTATGTGTAAAAGACCATTTTCAAGATGGATCTTTATCACAGACTGCTCTGTCTGGTGTACGTTATAGTTGACTAGATGATCGGCAACCGATTAGTGACACAAATACAATTGTTAATCTCAAATATACCTGAACTAACATTTAAACCTCTTTCCACATTGAAAACATTAATTATTAATGGTCATAAATATTCACAAAACACAGTCTTGAATGTGTTAAAAGAAAACTTTCCAACTGTACCAATAATTGGTAAAATTCGTTGGATTCGTTATGATGGTAAAACTTGTGCTTTTGTCTGTAAAATGTACAAAGTCAAATGTTATGTACAACAACTAAGAGCTTTTCAAGTCGAAGAAATCAATAAATTTGGCAGTTTTCTTTTTGAAAACATCTGTTACAAAAAGCCACTTAAACTAGTTGCATTTCATACATTTCTGTATCTTCCCCTACATCCTTATGGTAAATCATTTACTGTTCTCTAATCATTACAGTTTTCTATATTTTAACTCTGTTATTTTCTACCTAATTTTCTCTAATAAAAAAAACTTACATCAATTGTTTAGTGTAACACGTAATCAAACACAGCCAAAAGAAAACCAGCAAAACAAATAAGATCAAACTACCTAGTGAATGTTGAATTTTAAAAAAAATTGTAATAGTAATTGGAAATCTAAAAGCATAAACAATCATCTAAATTAAAACAGAAAAATTATTTTACAGATTGAATTAGAAAAAAAATAAACTTACGAGTAGTATAAGATCAATTCGTTTATAAAATTCTTCGAATGTTAGTGTATGCAGAGATTCGAACTCACTACGTTTCCGAGTAATAAATGCAATAAAAATCTACGTAGGACATTATTTCAATTTAGTAAACTATGCAGTAAATCAATGAGGTACTGAAAAACGAATAATACATAAATACATAAAACAATATACTAGGAATATCTTGTAACACCGGTTATCAAGGTCGACCAATGATATGAACACTAAACTCTAAACAGAGGATGCATGTAGTTGCATTCATTGAAAAATATGTTTACTATACCTTTGATAAGAAAGAATACATGATCTCATCTAATTATCATACTTTCCATTAACGATATTCATCACTTCAGTGATATTCTTATTTCATATATGAAAAAATGATTTGTTCGTCTCAACAAAGCCTCTGATATATTTTCTACTTAGTGATAATTAAGACGCATCGATCTACATATATATCTCAACGTCTAGAACAAATAAGACGCATGAATATCTATTTTATTCAAGCGTCTAAAAACAAGACGCTTCATGTGTCTAACTACTGTCTAAATCAGACTTTAGACACATGAACCGTCTTGTAAGACGCTTGGCATTTTTTAGAGTGTATGGTGTGTCTATTGTTTGCACATTCTCTTTCATCAGCACAAATACATAAGTTGGTGTTCATATATCAAGTACATAACTCAGACAAAAATTTTAAAATGAATTTTGTTATATTGACGACGATGTAGTTCAGTTCAATACTAAAAAATATTATTATGAAACATATTCTCATGAATGAAAAAATGAGCATTGTATGAAATAAAATAGTAGTGTCAGTATAAAAGAAATTTTGTTTTTGAGTTAGATGTGTAAAATTTCATTCCGCACCTAAGAAAATTAAATCTCTTCTGAATTTCAACTCAAGCTATATTTCTCAAAAAACATCAATTTTTCTTTTTTCAATACGATTGGAAAACAAATAGTAAATCATTATATTGTAAATAATTATAACTTGTATGATTCATGTCAATTGTTATTGTTAGTGCTTCACAAGAACTTTTCAACAGAAAAGAACATAAAATCTTTTTGTTTCACATATACACATGCTAATATATTTCTGCATGACTGAAATTATCATCAGAACTACACTCATCAGAAAATGTCTTTCTTTTTAAATAAGGGTGATTAATTTCAACGATAGCAATCTCCTTTTTCCTCTTTATAGTTAGTGTACAATCAAAGTAGATCAGCAAAAAACATTTCGCAGAACAATTAAATGATAGTTGGCATAGATATGTCTGAGTTTAACATTATCCTTGAAATCAGTTTCTGTTCGCGAAGGGAATGATAAACTTGAACAAATTATATCAAACATAATCAGCAGTTGCATGAACTAAGCAAAAAAGAGTAAATTATAGATTCATGAACTTCTTATATAACTGATCAAGCTTTATCTGTACATGAATCCAATATTATATAAAATCATCTTTCAGTAAAATAACATCGAAAGATCAACTGACGATAACAATCCAACATGTTTTACAACATCTCTATGTTATATTGGCAAATTCATATAGGATGAACCAGAAACTCATCGAAAAACAAATCATGTAATCTATTTTCCAATTCAACTCGACTACGACTACCTTCAAAACAAAATTGCTATGATACAATATGGGTCGTTCTATTCTACATCACAAATACTATTCTTCAGATCTGATAGCATAACGAAGCTTCTTCCCAAACATCATTGACACTGGGTTTCCATCATACCCAGTGATTTATCTACCGTATGGGCAGGGTGGGTGCCGCCCACCCGAAAATAAACAGTTGATTTCATAAAAGTAACGGGTGGCCCTTAAAGAATGGTGGTCTCATTATTTACTCAATATCGTTTTTGCTCTTCATTAATTTGAACTGAACATTTTCCCAAAAGATTGAGCATTCAATTCTTTACAAACTCATGTGTAAAAGATTTTTTAAAACTACAAAACGGCTAAGTACTAAAACGAAGA